GAAAAGGTGGGATTCGAGTTGAATCATAAAAGAATCCAGGAAAGTGAAGAGGTAGGAATGAGGATGGGACACATTCTAGATATGGGGGACCACCAGAGTAAAGATGCAGAGATGGGAGGAGTGTCATGTGCAAGGAACAACAAATAGGGCAATGTGACTGGATTGTAGAGCATATGGAGGGGAGTAAAGTGTAAGAAGATTGGCAGTTTAGGAAAGTGTCAGGTTATAAAGAACTTTAAATGTGGTACAGTGGGTAGAGTGTTGAGCTTAAAATCAGGAGGACTCTAGTTCAAATGTGACCTTAGATACTCACCAGCTTTGAGGCCTTGAGCAAGTCACTTAACTTCTGTTTGCCTCAGTTTCCTTATTTTAGAAAATGAGGATAAATAATAGCACCTACCTTGCAGGGTTGTTGTGAGAATCAAATGAGATAATATTTTAAAAGTGCTTAGTACAGTGCCTGGCACACAGTAGGTGCTACATAAAAATGTTTTTCATTATTATTTTTATACAGAGAACTTTATATTTGATCCTAGAGATAATAAGGAATCACTGGGGTTTATTCAGTAGGGGGATAATATGGTCAGATCTATGCTTTGGAAAAATCACTTTGGCAACTAAGTAAGAGATGAACTTGAGTGGGGGAGAGTTATGAGGTAGGGAGACTAATTAGAAGAATATTTTAATGGTCCAGGAGAAAAGTAATGCGTGTCTGAACTAGGGCAGTGTATAAGTTGAAAGAAGGAGGCTTATAGGATAGATATTATAATGATAGAAACAAGAAGATATGGCAATGAATTGGATATGTGGAATAAGTGAGTGGGGAGTTGAGGATGACACCATAGTTGTGAATCTAGTTGATTGGGAGGATGGGAGTACCTTTGATAATGCAAAGAAATTTGAATAATGAGATAGTATTGGGGAAAAGAAAATGAGTTCTGTTTTGGACATGTCAAAGAAGACTGAAAAGGAGCAGTCAGACATATAGGAGGAGAACCAGGTGAGAGCAGTGTCCCTTTGGGAGGAAGAGAGTGTCAAGGAGGAGAAGGTTATCAACAGTGTTAAATGCTGAGGTCAATAAAAATGAAGATTGATAAAAGGCCATTAGATCTGGCCATTCATATCACTGGTAACTTTGAAGGGAGCAATTTTATTTGAGTGATGAGGTTGGAAGCCAGATTGCAAGAGGGTTAGAAGAGAGTGAGGGGAGGGAGAGGAAGGCATGGAGTGAGATAACTTTCTCAAGGAATTTTAGTTATGAAGGGGAAGAGAGATATAGGACAATAGCTAGCAGGGATTGTAAGAACATGTGAGGGATTTTTAAAGGACATTTCTGTAGATGGGGAAGGAATTAGTAAATAGGGAGAGATTGAAGATAAAAGAAAGTGGGAATAACAAAGGAACAAACTGTTCTAGAAGATGGGATGGGATCAAGGGGGTATGTGGTCTAAGACATAAGGGAAGGAGGATATAGAGAAGAAAGATGCCCGAGTCATGCAAGATGAGGAAGGTGGGAGAGGACAGAGCCTCAACATATATATATATATGTACATATATATATATACATACATACATATACACACACACATATATATGTATATATGTATCTATATCTATCTATCTATCTATACACACACATACATACATATACATATATGTATATATGTATCTATATATATTGGTAAGTATGAAAATTGTGAATGTGCAAAAGAGGGGAAGCCATGGGAGGCCTGAGGAGAGACAAGAAGGTATGGAACAGCTATCGTGAAGAGTGGGATAGTGCAATGATGAGAGAGAAGTAGAATAATTGCCTTGCTTCATTCTGGGGTCCAGTTAATATTGATAATATAAATTTTTAGTGGCCCAAGTCGTCACAGTTGTCATTTTCTTTGGCATGTGAATAAGAGTGGAGGAGACAGATGTCATGAGTAATCTAGGTTTGGGGTTTGGCAAGGAGTGAATAGCAATAGAACACTGGGACAGAGAAATCAAGGGTAGAGGATTGTGAAGAATTGAACTGGTTACCAAGGAGTGGATCAAGGAAGAGAGGAGAGCGTAGCCAGTATGGAGACAGTGGCCTGGGAATTAACTGAAATATGGAGGTAACACAGGTCGGGGTTAGGTATTGTAAGGCACAGAGAAAGCTAGAATGATGAAAGATTATGATTAGATAAAGAAAGTTTGAAATTGGTGAACATGGTAGTAGAACATTTAGAAGCAATGGCAAGGTCAAGGATTTAACCATTGATGTCTGTAGCTGAGGTGGATTAAAGGAAAGATCATGGCAATCAAGCAGATTGGGGAATTGAGAAGTTAGGGTATTTGAAGAAAACTCTCTCAGTCTCTCTGTCTCTCTCTCTGTCTTTGTCTCTGCCTTTCTGTCTCTGCCTCTCTCTGTCTCTGTCTGTCTTTCTCTCTGTGTCTCTGTCTCTCTCTCTGTCTTTGTCTCTGCCTCTCTCTCTCTCTCTCTCTCTCTCTCTGCGCCTCTGTCTCTCTCTCTCTCTCTGTCCATCTCTCTGTCTCTAGTCTTTACACGAGGAAAGGAAACCCATGTGCTCAGGACAACTCATGACTCTAGAATGAGATAACATCATGCTTTTTCAGTGACAAGCAGATCCTTTTAAAAATGGAATCTACAAAGTTGTTCCAGTCCATTCTCTACAGGCTTTGAGTGATATTCCCCTTTCAAGCTGTAAAGGACAGTAAAGGACAGCATAGGCAAGCTTCTCTCTCAGGCTGTAGATGGTGCAAGACAGCAAGTCAGCCTGTCTCCAGCCATCTCTTCACATAGCATAAGATACTGTATCTCCCAGCATTGAAACTTTCCTCAGTGGATCATCTCCCCACTTCAATTGAAGTGCTTGGCTCAGCTCTATTGGCTTGCCACTTCCTCTCAGCTTCTCTTCTCCCTCATTCTCAGCTTCATTAGCTTAGGAGTTCTATCTTTCATAAGCCGCTTATCTCATTAGTTTCTCTGATTCTTCTCAACTGGCTCGTTAGCCTCAAATTAGGGTCTGCTCTTATGTAGTGACCCATTTCTAAGACTGAGAAACCCCAAATCACATTTCTGGCATACACGATAGAGTCAATATAAAATAATCCCATAGTCCCAAAACAGTTCTTAGATTCAGACCTTCCCAGGATAACTTTCCAAGTCCTAAAAACAGTCAAAGGTAAATCACCTGCTGGGAAAGAAGGTACCACAGCTATCATTACAGTCAATTAGTACTTTTGCCTCTGAGGGACATATTTTCACTCTTGTGTGTCCAGAATTCTCTGTATCTGAGCACTTTTATGTGAGGGTCAATTTTGATCTTTCTCTCAGAACTGTTTGTATTCCACACAAAAATGTCCTTTCATCATCTGTTTCGCTAAATAAAATGTTCACATTAGAAAGGAAGGCGGTACTATTGTAAATTTATAATAATTATTCATTGCTGTAGGAGATGGCTAACAGAGTCCAAATAGAAAAGAGATTCCATATAAATGGTGAGGTCCTCCAAATGCTCCTGTTTGTATATGACAGTCTTTTTATTTTGTCAAGCTCCAGAATATAAACATATCTTTTCAATGGGATCCATGGTTACTCAGGAATGATTAGCCTAACAATTCATACAGGAAAAAACCCAACTAAATGGATTTTTAAAAAAAAGCCTATTCTAGAGATTATGGCATGAAGTTGGAAGGCCAGTCCTTTGAGTTAGTGTATTGATTTCTGACCCAGGCACCAATAAAAGACAATAAGTTGGTTCCAGAATTGAAGAAAGATGAGGGCAGGTTGCATTGTACTTGGAGAACTATGTAGTGATTCTAACGAATCTGAGTTATTTCCTGGCACAAAGAATCATTTCTCTAAAACAAATGTTTTCCTAGTGATCCTATAAAGTTTCAAACACTGAAACATCACAATGGTGAAGAATCCAAGTTTTAGGTGACCAAAAGGGCAATGGAGAGATGTGTGGTAGGTACATATAGGCCGCAATATATTTCCAGTGATGACCTACAGACAAAAAAATGGAGTAAGGAACATCATTGAAGAAATGTGAAACCAAAAATGGAGATGGTCCAATCATGTAACAAGAGAAAGGGATAATAAATAGAAACCCCTATTTTCTATTGATATCCCTGAAATGTTTTAAAAACAAACACACCTAGAAGAAGGCCTCCAGGAGGTTGGCTGGTTCCTCTGTGGAAGATCTACAGGGTGTCTAATAGCTTTAGCACTTTTGAGCTTTGAGAGCTTAAGACTTTTGGGACACCCTGTTTATAAGAGAACGTAGATAAGAAAAGCCACAGTGTGAAGAGGTGTTGAATGAGTGGTAATCTGTACCAGTCAAGGAAATATTCACATCAATGAAATCACAGATCCCATAAAGTATTGAAGAACAAATATTATTATGATTATGTAATCTTATCATAAAATTTTAGTGCAATATTTTTTGTAGCCAAGTTTTCAACATACTACATCAAGAATGCCTGTTCCTTTATCCCTGCCTCCTCCCCCAAATAATTGACTGAAAATATTTGTGATCTCTACTGACAAAAGTTTTTTAAATACTGAAAAATCCAAATGATATATACTGGACTATGGCCAGGAATGAAGATAGGATTTAAAAGTAAGTTTGTATTTGAAAAACTTTTCTTAGAAAATTAATGTCTAGGTTATATTAAGACATATGCTGCCGAGTATTTACTGCTACTGAGTTAACAAGCTCCAATATGCTCTTCAGAAGTGCCTCCAGCTGACTAGATTTACTATCTAATTAACTGAGCAATTATTTATGGAGCACCTACTGTGTGCAAGCCATTGTCTTAGTAGCATATGCATAGAAATAGAAAACATGCTTCATGGAACAGTGAAAGAATCACTGGAAATCAGGACACCTGGATTCATATCCTAACTTTGCCATTAACTTATTGTAGTATTTTGAGCAAGTCACTTCATACTTTTAAGCTTCTGTTTCCTGATATATATTGATGTCTATTAAATTCCTTTCTAGCTTTAATATTCTACAATCAATAAACAAGGTGCCTGCTATCACAAAACTTAGAAATCTAGGTGTGGATTGAAAAAATGTTTACTTATGACAAGATAACTAGAATAAAAAGCAGTTAATGCTGTGAAAATGGAAACCTTGATTTGCTTGAGGTAAGTAGAATTGTATGAAGACTGGCTGTATTGACTTGACATACCAACAATCCTTTGTGGTGACTGAAAGTAAACCTACCTGGACATGCAGAAAATCAGCAACTCTGAAGCCAAGTAAACTCATATCAGCTTTGAAGCAGACCCTGAGCCATTCAGTGGTTTATGAACTTTCAAGAGACATCCCTATCTTCAAAGACTTTATGGGTTTTGGAGACAACCTTATCTCCAGAGACTCCTCTAACTTTGGTTAGGGTGCTCTCCTAATTATCCTGCTTTTGGAGACAATCTCATTATCAAGTCTTGAACTATGGACTGTTAATCTGATTTATGTATCAAAGGCCACGGCCTTGACACCTGGAATTCCTTATTCCTCCTCTCCTCTGGGGATGAGGCTCATTGACTCATTCCTTTCTAAGACCACCTTCCCCCCCCCCCAAATTCCTTACCTTCCTTTGTTCAAAAGATATATAAACTCTCCCTATCCACTACTTGGTGGGCTGTCAGCATAGGCTGTCAGTCCTCAAGTGCATGTTTTACCTCCCTGCTGAATAAAAACCTTTCTTTAATTTCACAGCCATTGTCTTCCTCTGGTTTTCTTCCCTTTTAGGGAAAAGGGGAATTTAAATCTGGAGAACTGGCTTTTGCATTTTCTGGTTGTCTTCCCCTTTGGGGGAAAGAGAGATCTAAATTCCCTGAAGAGAGCATTTGCCTCACTTCAGGTGGGAAGCCTCCCTAGAGAAGGTGAAATTCAGTTATTCCTTAAAAGATGAAGTAGATATTGGTAAATGGCGAAGGACTGTATAGGTGTTTCAGGAAGAAGGAACTAAGCCAGAAAATACAATGATGGGAAGGGGTGATGGTGGGAAATACAGTGTTTGGGTGGGGGTTAAAAGTCAATCAACATCAGTTCTTATGCTATCAATTATTTTAGCCACTTGTATATCAGGAGATTTGTTCTGTGAAGTTTGGATTCAGTCAAAAGGCTGCACTTGAGGACCTAGAAGGCCATATGTGTCCTCGAGGCCAAAGGTTCCCCACCCCTATACATTTGATGTGCTCATTAAAAGTTCTTCTAACTTCTGAATTTCTATCAGCTACTGAGGGAAATACTTTTTTTTTTTTTTGCTATTTCTTGGTATATCATCTCTCTCCCCCTCTCCCTTGCTTTCTTTCTGTCAATAAACTTCCGGAAAACATGCTGATAAATATTTTAACATCCAGCTCTCCAAGGGGAAAAATGTACCCAAGACACACATTAAAATTTAGTCTTCATTATTAACATTTTCTCTATCACTTTCATAAGTCTAGACAATCAACAGGATAATAAGTTATGTCCTATTTTGGAGGCTTGATTTAAACCCTGATTTCTGAGGTGTAAATGTTCACACTGAAAATTTAATAGTTGGGTCTCTGGAGCTGATTCAAACTGGTTCTAATGCATCCTTGTGTCCCTTTAGAATGTGAGGTCCTGAAGCACAAAGACTGCCTTGCTTTTCTGTAAGTTCTTAGTACAGTGCTTTGCATATAATAAGTGCTTAATCAATGCTTCATTCATTCATTTGAATTCATATCTCCTTGTTCCATATGAGGCTTATCCATGTCCTACCATGAGTCTTCCATAGAAGGTCTACCCATCCCAAAAACAAAAACAAAAACAAAACAAACAAAAAAAAAGTCTACCCAACATCCTGGAGGCCTTCTTTTAGGTCTTTTAATCCTAATCGATACCAGTGCAACACATGGTGTTTCATTGTTATTGTTGTTGAGTAATTTCAGTCATGTCTGACTGTGATCCCATTGGGAGTTTTCTTGGCAGAGATGAGTAGTTTGCCATTTTCTTCTCCAGCCCATTTTACAGATGAGGTATTTGACTATTATTCTTTGCTTTCACTACATAACTGGTCAGCTTCCCAGTACAATCATATATGTCCTTGATGCTGTGACATTTAAAAAATTTGAGAGACATAATTTCTGGGTAATTAAGGTAATTAATACTAGCATTTTATAAATAAAAGAGGTCAGTGACTCTCTCAAATGTCAAAGACCCCTTATGGTAGTTGGCTTACAGTCTATATGCTCTTGGAAGAGTGGGTGTTCCTAAGGGTGGCAATCAACTCTGATAGATTTTTATTTTTTTGGCAATTGGGGTTAAGTGACTTGCCCAGGGTCACACAGCTAGTAAGTGTCAAGTGTTTGGTCTGAGGCCAGATTTGAACTCAGGTCCTCCTGACTTCAGGGCCAGTGCTCTATACATTGCCCTACCTAGCTGCCCAACTTTGATAGATTTACAATTAATGAGAGAATAAATATTAAAATGAGATGTGGGCTTATTCTAATGAAGATTTTGGGGGTTTGTGACTTGGCTGATCCATGTCTTGGTCAAAGAGACTTATCAATATATGAATATACGTATCAAAGAGGGAATTCACTTCTTCCTTAGAGTTGTCTGACCAAGCACACAATGAACAGGAATTCACCAATTCCTTCAGCCTGGTTGGGTAAAATTTTCCCAAGCTTTCCTACAATGGTTGATTTCTGGATAAGGAAGCAGGAAACCCTTCAATCCTAATTCAATAATTGGTTATTAATATAAGAAAGAAATAATGAATTATCCCAATACTATATTTTACTCTATTCACTGCCCCTGATAAAAATAACTAACTTCCTAATATTATTTAGAAAAATCGGTATCAAAAAGGTAATAGAGTGTGGGGGACATAGATGGAGTCTGGACTTGGAGACAGGAGCACCTAGGCTCAGAACCTCCCTCTGACCCTTACCAGCTAGCTATGTGATCTTGGGCAGGTTCCTTAACCTTTCAGACTTACTTCTCCCTCATCTCTGAAGTGGGGATCATAATACCAGCAGTACCTACATCAAAGGACTGTGAGGTCAAAGTGAGATAATGCACATGGAATGCTTTGCAAGCTTTAAAACGCAATGTCAATATCAGTTATTATTAATAAATATTGATGTGTCTATATAACAACAGTGAGCACCATATTGCTACTATAATGAAGATTCTAAGACAGAGAAAGGATATGTTTCCAAGTTTCTTGGCAAAAACTTAATTTTGGGTATATCCCAAGAGAGATATAGTATATTTTCTTACTTGTAGAGGCAAAGATCCATTTGAGAAATATTTTTCTTTTGGATATAGTTGCAGAATATAGCAAGTTTTCTTTTCCCATGGTTTCAGTCAGTCAGTCAATTCAAATTTAAGCACTGCTATGTGCCAGGTACTGTGCTAAATGCTGGAAATATAAAGAAAGACAAAAAAAAAAAAGGCCTTGCTTACAAGGAGCTCACAACCTAAGGCGGTGGGGATGGGAAGAGACCTGGGGGAAGGTGGGGGGGAGGGGAAAGCAAACAAACAACTATTTGCTAGCAAGAAATATATAGGTTAAATTGGGGGTAACCTCAAGGGGAAGGCACTAGTATTAAGGGGGAATGGGAAAGGCTTCTTGTAGAAGGTGGGATTTTAACTGAGACTTCAAGGAATCCAGGAGGTGGAGATGAAGAGGAAGTGTGTTAATTAGGAGGCAGGGAGATGTGGGTTCATAACTTAGCTCAGATACTTATAAGATGTGTGACTCTGGGCAAATCACTTAACCACTCTGTGCCTCAGTTCCCTGATCTGTAAAACTGGAGGGGAGGAGCAGTTAGACTAAGTCTCTAAAGTTCCTTCCAGCTATGGTCCTAAGAAAGTATTTTTTAAAAAATCTGTTTAATGAAATGCAGAATGGACAATGGAGAAAAATAAAGGTGATTTTGAGGGCAGGGCAATCTGGAGAGCGTTTTAAAAATTATTTTTGGCAAAGCTGGTATTATGTTTTGAAAAGAATCACATATTTTGGCTCTCTCCTCTACTCAGGAATTTCTACAGCCTGTGGGGTGAGTTCCATTTGACATTACAGCTGTTTACATGTGCTGTTCAAGCAGTTATAAATCCCTCGTGTACATTTATGTATTGGACACTGTATCAAGTAGTGTGGCCCCTTCTATCAGACGTCTCCGGGTAGCAAGGGGGCCTAGTGGATGGCATGCCAAGTTTGGAGTCAGGAAGACTCATCTTCTGAATTAAAATCTGGCCTCAGATACTCACTAGCTCTGTGACCCTGGGCTTAACCCTGTTGCCTCAGTTTCTTCATTTGTAAAATGAACTGGAGAAGGAAATGACAAACCACTCTGCTATCTCTGCCAAGAAAACCACTAATGGGGTCACGAAGAATTGTACAGGACTGAGCAGTAACAACACCTACCTCTCTCCCCCAAACCAAACGTGGCTCCTGTTGGGACTTTTGAGATGTCCAGATTAAGAAGAGATGGTTTTACTTGGTTCACACCATGCTAGATTATGAACCTGGCTCCCTCCTTCTTAGGGCTGGCATGAGTAGAAACAATAGAGAAATCTCTGCCTTGTTTTCCTCATTATAGGTAATTATGTATGCTCTTTTTAATGTGAGGGTTTGAAATTGCAGCCTCTGCATATGCTTCCTTATAAAGCATCTCAGCTGCCTCCAGACAAAACAGCATTTGAAAGGAGATTGGCTCCTGAGTATTTGGCATGTAGGAGAAAGCAACAGAGAAAAACTGATGTTTCAAATCTATCATTTAAAAATATACAGCATGTAGCATAAGAACAACAACAAAAAGAAAAAAGTATCTTCTTGTAGCATCTAGTATTAAGGGTTAAGCATTTCTATTGTAAACTTTTGGTTTGAAATGAGAAAATGCTAAGGCTCCATGGCAATTATTTATTTATTTTACCACCTTCCCCTTTCCTACCTCAGATAATGGAACAATCTCTTGCCTTTTGGAAGCATTTTTTCTTTATCTAATTTAATAAATAACAAATAAATTCACTTGGTCATAACTTGAGCAAGGCCCTGTATAGGATCATAGGTATAGAGGTGGAAGGGTCCTTAGAGGCTAGTATCTAGCTCAAGCCACTCATTTCATAGATGAGGAAACTGAGATCCAGAAAAGTGAAACGACATGCTTGTCCTAGGATTTTTGATTCCCCAGATGCAGTGTTTTCTGGTTTTTTTTCCCTTTCTCCTACTGTATGGTGCTTCCTTTATGGTGCAAATATGTCCTGAGAAACAGTTTTTATCTTAAGAATATTATCGAATAGTTTCTTGTTTCAAATTCAGTTTTATATGTAGCTGATGAATAAATTAAGTCCAACAATTGGAAGCAGGGCTGCCCCTGGCAAAACAGTGGAGCAGGTTTATCTTCATTCCTCTCTCATCCCATCCCCCTAGACTCCCTCCTCCTAAGCCCAGTGGAGCTGTTTGCTTCTCTCCTTCCCTCAGGTGCCCAGTGTTTTAATTCTTTCTCTATCTTCCCCCTTACCAAAACCTGTTTCTAGGAAGAGAGCTAAAATTCATTCATATATCCATGAATGACTGATAACAGCTTCAAGTTACCTCTTCCAGGATGATTTACATTTTAATAAGCTGGCAAAGTCTTAGTCTAAAAGAATGGATCTCTTAAAGCTACCCACCTGCTGACAGAGAAGTGATGGACTCAA